AGGTTGCTGGTGGAGGAGCTGGACGAGATTCCTCGTTGACAGCAGCACGGTTTTCTAACTACACTGGAATTTCTCCACCGGAGCTGCATCAGATGGAAGCCACTGACGATGGTGCCACAAAACCACTTCAACACCAAAATCTGGATGTTCATCAAGATACTGCGCATCCCGGGAGCTGACCCGAGTGGGTCCCGCGCCGCCCACCCGGGTCAGCCGCGAGAAGGAGACGTACTCCCATGGTTGCGTCAGCTTACTCTATAGCACGGTATGGTACCGCTGGCAGGGAAGCTACTACAGGTTAACACACTTTACTTGCGTGTTTCAGAAGTTTTATACCTAGGAGACTAGGTGTCATTTCAGTAAAATCCTGCCATTGCTATATTTCATAGCAATTTTGAATATATTAATTTCTGTACCTTGCTGGTAGACAATTTTTATTAATTTAATGGGTACAGTCATTTGAAAGATTATTCTTGGCCAATCAACTTCTAAGCAATCAGATAGCCACTGTATTTGGTACATAAAAATTAATGAAATAAATTAATAGTAAATTAATTTTCCAAACCGAGGAAGCGCACGCCAGCCTGCGATGTCATCTGGAGGTCATTACGGCCACCTCACCCCAGTCTCTGCCCCCTTTCTGCCTCTCCCACGGCTGTTCCCGAGCACGGCCGTGTCCTCTCTTCCACGTGTAACGTCACAGCCAGAAAACTGAATTACAGATTGCAAACCGGTGATTATTCCTTGCACTGCTCGTCACCCCAGCATGAACTGAGAGTACGCCTGGCTAAAACTGCCTGTGTAAACTGCGATTGTAAACCTGAATCACCTGAAGAGCCCAACCGAGACTCCCCAACAGGGGACAGCTTACCAACATTCAGCAACGGGCAATTCCTGCCTCAAAATGCTTCCAGCCTACATAGAAATGAGCACCAAATCACAGAGCCATACTTGGTCTTATGAAGAGGAAAATGTTTTTCCAAGAGCTTTGACAGTCTTTTCACCTTCCCTTCATTGTCCCGTTACCTGCGTATAAAGTTCTTGCAATACTGTTATTGATGTTAGGTTACAACCCAAACGATTCTGTGATTCGATTCGATGATTAAAACGGTGCAGACTCCCAACGACTGCAGATGCAGCAACAGCCACCTGAACGGCTGCTACATGAGTAAAACTTAGGTGGTCAGAGAAAGGCATTACATCGTGTAACCACTCTGCTTTGGAAAAATGCACACGATACAGTCACGGCCTTTAAAGTTCACAGGTTTTCTCCTGGAGATGCATGTAAGAGGTACGAGCCTCGAAACAACAGTCCCTCTTGTCGTGGTTACCTCCCGTGAGCCAGACTGACCGGCTCCTGGGGCAGGGCCCATCAATTCTAGTTTAAAAATCACTGATGGTAACTCAAGCTTGAGGGAAAGGCAGGTTGGGGCGGTGGTTTTGGAGGAGCTGTGAGGGAACCAGCGCTTGTCCTGCTTGCAGACTCCTATTGCCTTGGTTGAGAGTGCTGTAAAAAAGAGTATTTTTCTGATTTGAGCACACTCAGGGGTCCCAAGTATTGCCATTTCTAACTGATTTAGAAACTTGATTGTTTTAACATACAGGTGTTTAAATTACTATTTAAGGCGGTCTCACCTTGGAAACACAACATATAGAAAGGAGCATCTGGTAATATTTGGAAAAGTACCAGCACATCCTAGTGTTAAATGTGTCTTTTTGAGAGAAAAATACCGCAAAGCTATCTTTTTATGAACACTCCCCGCTTCAACAACCACAAGCTGTTTAGAAAGAACACTCTGGGGAAAAAAAATACCCACAAAAACTTCTGAATAACTGTCCACCTACAAAAATAATCTAGAAAAAAAATCTTAAAATACATTTAGTTAAGGTATTTGAGGAGTTTGGCTTCTGTTTTTCAGTCATTAATAAACAGGCTATTGCCCATTTTCCATTTGAAGTATATTTACCTCAGCTAAATGCTCATCAGCACTTCATACTTGTACAACTTCTTCTGTACTTGACAGAATCATAGAACGGTTTGGGTTGGAAGGGACCTTATCTGGTTCCAACCCCCTGCCATGGGCAGGGACACCTTCCAACAGACCAGGTTGCCCCAAGCCCCATCCAGCCTGGCCTTGAACACTTCCAGGGATGGGGCATCCACAGCTTTGCTGGGCAACCTGTGCCAGTGCCTCACCACCCTCAGAGTTTCTTCCTTATCTCTAATCTAAATGTACCCTCTTTCAGTTTAGAGCCATTACCCCTTGTCCTGTCACTACATGCCCTTGTAAAAAGCCCCTCTCCAGCTTTCTTGTAGGCCCCTTCAGGTACTGGAAGGCTGCTATGAGGTCTCCCCAGAGCCTTCTCTTCTCCAGGCTCAACAACCCCAACTCTCTCAGCCTGTCCTCCCAGGAGAGGTGCTCCAGCCCTCTGACCATCTTCGTGGCCCTCCTCTGAATCTGCTCCAAGAGACCCATGTCCTTCTTACATTGGGGGCCCCAGAGCTGGAGACAGGGCTCCAGGTGGGGTCTCACCAGAGCGGAGCAGAGGGGGAGAATCCCCTCCCTCACCCTGCTGGCCACGCTGCCTTTGATGCGGCCCAGGACACAGTTGGCTTTCTTACTTACTGCTCTGTAACTACCTTCTATGGGAAACTAATGAAACAAATGTTATGTGGAAGTGGATCCAAATGTTCAAGCAAATGCAAATGTCTGGGGTGGGAGGAACTGGCCAGTAAGACATATCTGAGAAATATATACTGTACCTTCCCTATGAAAAACTTGGCTCTGTTCTAGACCACAGCTCAGTACAGCACGTTAGGTCTGTGCTTCCTTTCCAACATATGGATTAGATTCACTGATGTCAGCAGGACTTTCCACATTTTAAACTGAGGTATGTGTTCAAATATTTCTGTTTTGGGGCCAACAGATCATCTCCTGTCCCTGAGGTGATACAGAGCGTTCCCCACAAAAAGCACCAAAACAACGAGTAAATCTCTTCCTCAGCATCCCCCTTCCTCCGAGCCAGCGAGGGCTCTTCATGCAGGGGTATCTGGGGAAAAAACAGGATTTATAGGGTGCTTGAGTCGGGCTGAACTCAGCGGTGAACTCTGCCAGCACTCTGGCCATCTCTCATGCTCAGGAATAACTTTACCCTCCTGGGCAGCTGCTGAGAATTAGTTTCATCAGTTACTGCAGGAGGGAAGGTTTTTGTGTGCGTGAGCATTTGCAGTAGCGATCTTACCCTGTTTATACACCCCAGTCTGGTGCCTGTCCGCTGTGTGTGGCTCCACTGCCCGTACCTCACCTCCCCACGGTTAGCACCTACATTTGTAGATATTTTAAACACCGTGAGAAGATAAATGTAACTTACAATCACCGTTTAATCGAAAGTCACCTCTACTTTTTTTAGCTGGGGTGTAATGTCATACCAGCTTTCTGAGACAAGAGATGCTGTAATGTAATGCAAGTATATACATATATATTTTATTTCTCCAGGTTGAAAAAAAGGTTAACAAGCTGTTTCATAGTTAAATATCTGGAGAACAAATGATGGCAGTTGTCTTGCATTTGACCTAGAAGAAATCTGTGCTGATTTAAGGACTCTTAGGATAGTGAAATACAGTGCCTAATTACAAATAATTATTTAGGTTCAAGATTCTTGGCACAGAAGATGGGTCACGATGCGATTTTAGAGCACTGGATTTCAGAAACAGTTTTTTGTGAGAGGCCGGAAGGCTGAAAGGAAAAAATTAGAAAAGTAAGTTATCTGAGAAGTTACTCAACATTTTAAACTGGAGAAAAATCATCAGAGGAAGGTCTCTCCCTTCTTTTATACTTTGAATACAGTTGAGGGGAAGAGCAAAGCCCAAGGTAGTTATACTTTTTTTTTTTTTTTGTCCATTTGGACCAAACCATCTGCAGAGATCACTAGACAATCGTTAGAGGTGACTCCCAGAGCCTGTGTTTCGGCTCAGAAGGCTTGTCTCCACTGCTGCCTTTCCCTGCGGCCACTGATACGCATGAGCCGCTCTGAAGTAAAACTTTTATTTCATTTCGTTCAAGGTAAGCTCACTGAAGGGAAACCTACAGACCCATCCAGAGCAACCCTTCGGCAAATCCCTCTGCACCATAACCAAATAGTCTCACATCGTGTCTAGACCTCTGGGTCCCAACACGCACAGCGCTGCTCCGTGGGGGAAAGCGCTGCTTCTTTGTGGGAAAAACAACGTGCCCTGGGAGGCACGTTCATACAGGAGGTACGAACGGAGGCCCCGGAACGCCGGAACGCTGGAACGCCAGCGGTGGAACAGCCCTGGGAGCTGTGACACCTCCACTGTGTCACAAGGCACTGCGCAGCCCGGGAAGGGTGGCAGAGACCCTGAGGCTGCTCAGAGTGGTGGCGGCGCCTGGACGGCCTGAGGGTGGCTGGACGGCCTGAGGGCAGCTGGACGGCCCGAGGGCGGCTGGACGGCCCAGGGGTGGCTGCCTGAGCCCAGCGCAGGATGGAGTTTCTGGGAACCACGCAGCTAGCCAGCTACTGCGGCACAAAGAAGAGCTGCTTGTTCCCGGATCTAGCTCCCACCAGCACCACCAAGGACACCTACCAGTCCTACTACCTACCAGGCTACCGCCACCTCAGCTCCTGGAGGCCCAGTCTGCTTCACAGAGTGGTTTCGGTCCCTCCCAGCTCTGACAAGCAATTTAATCCCACTGGGCGGCCGCCCACTATTCTGCCTGTATCACGCTCTAGCCTGCATGCCCGCTACAGCACTCGTGACTGGCACCATGCAAACATCATTCAATTAAAAGGCTCTGAAGCCTCCAGACACTGTGCTGGTAGACTGAATGCCGATGCGATGAGACTGATGCAAGATAAGGATCAACTGACTTATCAGATGCAAGAAGACAGTAGAAGAAACCTGGGAGAGAGGATCTCTAACATTGATTTCTGGAGATCGGAGCTCATCTATGAGCTAGAGTGTCTGCTGAAAGAGACCCAAGCCTTGGAAACAGCAAAGAAGCGGCTCGAATGTGCTGCAGATGAAATGCAAGAACCACTAAAGGCAGGTTTGACATAGCTATTTTTTTCATGACTGTACTGTGGAATGGATAAAGAAAATGGCTTTATCACTGTTGAGTACTATGCTAGTACTTTTACTGTTATCATCAAGACAGATTTTGGTGAAACGTTACCTTCAGTAAGAAGGAAACCTGGCCACTGTGGGCTTTATATATA